GGTGGGTGACCGCTGGGGAAAACTAGGTGATGTAAGCTTGGGTGTGTGGGTGTGGTAATGGATAATGACTCGGAATTGTTAATTAGAGAGCTAAGTTCTAATTTCCGTTGGGTTTTTTATATTCCCTCATCCTTGGGAAAGGTATGAATTCACGTCTTCTCCACTACCTCCAGCTTAGTTAGTAAGACTTGTATCAAAAATACAAATTTTCTGGCTTTAAATAACCTGCAAAGTGTTGATAAGCCGTAGAAAACGAATCAATCAAACAATGGAATAGAGAGTTGTGCCCTCCGGAGGTCGAAACATTGTGATAACAAAGATTAGGCCAACCCAGAAATTCGGGGTGCAGAACTAATTTCAACTCGGAACTAATTTCAATTCGGTTTTGCAACAAAAGTTGCAGAAAAGATGAATTCTGAATTATCTACTAAGGATTTTTAATGCGAAATTAAAAACAATTAACACCAACTCAATGCATTTTGTTTAGGAATTCACGGAAATTGATAACTTTAATTCTAAATCGAGTTGAAATTAGTTCCGAGTTGAAATTAGTTACGTCACTCAGAAAGTCAGACAGAAAATCATTGTTATTCGTAGAAATAAAAATCGTGAATGCAATATTTACTCACAAAAAAGAATTGTAAAAAAGCAAATCAATGAATTTCGAACCATCCACGTGTAACCTTTAAAGATATTTGTCAAATAACACACATGTGATTTTGTACATGAAGAAAAAAGGTTTCAAGTTTCCATTTAAATTGAGTAAAAGTAAAAAAAAAAAAAAAATCAGTCTATGGAGAGTTCTTATGGTGATTTCTTAAGCATTACTCACATATGACACAAGGCCGAAGGTATGGAGCACCCAGTGAGGATCAAATTCACAACTCAGTCGTAATTGCTCGGGCGAGAGAAGCTTTCTAACCATTACACTACACTGAAGTGCCTAAAAGGATTTTCTATGCGTAGCTTAGATATGGCACAAGGTCAAAGGTATGGAGCACCCAGTGTGGACTGAACTCACTGTTCAGTCATAATTCATCAGGCAAGACAAGCTCGTTAATCGTTACACCATGTCGAAGTATAGCATTTGATACATAATCCGTTTCCACGCACATAAGTACGTTTCCTGAACGTGTTCCATTTAGAAATGTTTTCTACTCGTTTAATTATATTTAATGCTTGCTAAATTGAGGGAATTAACGTGCCAGTGTTTATCAATTATCAAAGTGTTCGACAATGACTAATATTTGGACAGAAATTAGTTTTCCCAGTGAAAAGACTTCGAAGCAAACTCGTAAACTGTAAACTGCTGCATCAATAGGGCGGATTGATTTTTCACTTGAGAAAATCAAGATGGCTCTCGGTATGAAATCTCGGGTTTGACGTGATAACAACTGACACTAAAACTTAGATGCAGAGCTTTTACCAAGTTTCGAGCATTTAGTTTTAAAGATCGTCTGAAAAAAATGTACAAAAATACCTAATTTCCGCGGGTTTTTGCTTACAAACTGAATTTTACTATTTTAAAAATAAATCCAAATAAAGTCGATAACTTTTGTATTAGATACATTGAATGGAAAATATATTCATACCAGAATTCTACTTATGAATCACCACAAGAAAAATACGCAATTTTTTTTTTTAATTTTATTTTTGTTGTATTCGATTAACCATGTAAAAGGAATTGTAAGAGATTACAAAAAAAGATTAATCAATGAATAAGATTTGTTCGATCATAATTAATGAAACAAAAATAGATAAATATCCATATAACACCGTAATACTGCTGGTCATAAATTAGAAGACAAAATGTTTTAAATTTGGTTTATTGAAAATCGCACTAAAGCTACTGTACTGTATAACATATTACATCATAATCTAGCTAAATTGTTCAGTCTAATTTCTCTTTGAAGTAAATGAAGGTCTTATTTGATGGTACAATGATTTAGTAATAATTTGCTGCTGCCATGCATCTTGTCCATATACAATTTATAACGCTTCAGTAAATTGTAAATTTTACAAGGCTGTGCTATAAGGTTTTCATTAATCACCGGAATGAAATTCCCACGCTATTATTTTTAACCTAAACTTAATCTTTAAACTAGTTTCTACAAAAAAAATGTTAATGATTTGGAAAAATATTTTATCATTATTTATCATGTCAACTCACAACTCAAGTTGAGTGCAATACATCGGTTTCAAAATCGACTTGCCCTACTGCAAAGCCCTTTAATATTTGTCTATATTTCTGAGATGAGCTATTATGTACACTATTTACATTATTCGGACTATTGCTCTCATCTTTGTCGCCATATTTATTACAACGTTTAGGCCGTTGTACGCTCCGGCCTTCTTCAGGTGGTTGGAATGTCGAACTGAACCCTTTATTTTGCTCACTGGGGTAGACTGTTCTAGTTCCACGTGCCATGTTTTAATGGATGTTAGTTGTCAGTTATCTCATGCTAATTCCCCTCTCCAAGTTCTCCACTGCCTTAACCGGGTATTGAACTCACAGTGGAGAACTTGGAGAGAGGAATTAACAGGAGATAACTGACAACTGACATCCATTAAAACATGGCACGTGGAACTAGAACAGTCTGCCCTAGTGAGCAAACAAAGGGTTCAGTTCGACATTCCAACCATCTGAAGAAGGCCGGAGCGTACAACAGACGAAATGTTGTTATAAATATGGCGAAAAAGATGAGGACAATAGTCCGAATAATGTAAATAGTGTGCAAAGCCCTTATTATAAAAATAAATAAAATTTCTTTTGTAAACGATTTTTGGACTTCATTCATTATCGGGCTACTGCTATTACTAAAAACGACGATTGATTTATTTTTATTTTTATTTTTACAGCTCATCAATCCTTGTGGGTTATTTAAAGCCTAAACTGTAGTGATATGTAGATCAACTAATTAACATATCCGGAGTATCCAGACTATATAATGACGTCTATTAGAAGGAGGGGGAAATACTCACGAGCATTGATTACTAACACGAAGGACTTAGGACTTTATAACATAAACATATTTTGGATTGTACGAATTTTTGTGAGTGAAAATTGCATTATTTTTTTTTTGTTGGAGATAATATTTTTTTCAGATAGAAAAATTAAAGTATTTAACCCATAGTTGGCGGTAGAAAATGTGGATTCATAGCTTTTACCAGGCTATTTGCGCCTAGGTGAGTGTAATGAACCAGACTTGAATTCGACCATTGTCTTCCGATTTCTCATTTCGAGCCGATATTCATTACACCATCCGCACATCCGACCTATAAAAATCAAAGCTTTTAACTTTACAATTCCCCACCTCCAGATCGTATATGTTCCGGTTACGAGCCAGACACTAATATTCCAGTCATTTCCCCTGTGAATTTCTCCCTATTGACATCAGTCGGTTTTTATAAACTCGTTGACATTGGCAATGTTAATATTAGCTGTTTCCTTATGTGGAAACTTCTGTTAGCTTGTACTACAGACGGTTAAAATTTATCAAATCTTTCTCTTAAAAGAAGTGTTTTTCAAGTCCAGTAACTGTTATTGCCTTTTTCACTATTGACGTGATTTTCTTTCCTAACTTATTAACCCTTGCATATCAACTCTTTGCGGGTTTGAAAATCAACATCTTCTACCAAGTTGTCCTCATCTTTGTCATATGCACGACGTTTCGGCCGTTGTACGTTCCAGCCTTCTTCAGATGATATACGTTGGCATTTCGTACAGAGGCCTTTATTTAGTCTACGGGGATAGATTGTTGTAGTTCCATGACACTTCTGGGTATCCCAGTTTCATTTTAGTAACTCGACTTTCCAAGCATTTGCTCACATCTGCTGTGGGCAGGTATTGAACTCACAACTCTTTAGGCCATGTCTTACTTTCGTCAACGCTTTTATCTACTGACCCATATGACAAAGATGAAGACCAATGTAAATAGTTACAATACTTCATCTCAAAAATATAGACAGATGTCGAGTGAGCTTGCTGTCAACGAACATCCCACAGTGCAGGCAGAGAGAGTGAAAGAGAGAGAGAAAGAGAGAAATATAGAGAGATTGATGTACGAGTCGGTCCGAGATGGGAAGTGCCGAAGGACCTGAGCAATTTTCGACTTCCATCCTATGTACACGTTGGAGTAAAACCATGCCTTGTGGCATATTGCGCTCAAATAAGCCGGCAGTTAAATAACACCTCTTCCATTGCAACGACCATTTGTATTTCCTCAACATCCACAGACAAAAACTGTGGTCTATACAGCAACTATGCTCATGGGATCTTAGTAGTTCAAGTATGTGTCCCACCAAGGTCACATACGGTTAAAAATATAGAGTTGCCCTTCTCCTAGACCAGTTGCTAACAATTACCAAAGAGTCCAATTTGCCATAATATTTTACCGGGTGAAAGAACTAATTTCAACTCGGAACCTCAAAAGGGTAATTTGCATTTCAAGCCTCGCCCTACAGTTTCTAATAAAAATTTCCCGGTGTAAATGTAAATATTTAATTCGAAAATAACAAAGAAATTTTGATAAAATCTACCGTTTTGAAGTTATCGGCAATAAAAGTTCGGACTCATTCGCGTCGAGGTGGATGAAGTTGAAATTAATTCTGCAACTAATTTTCGCCATAAATAGTGATAGAAGATGTGGATTCATACTCACCCTTGCGCGAAAGTAAATGCAAAGATCTCTGTCGAAAAATTCTGCTAATGTTCGACGAAGACGGGTCTAGCTCTATCTTCAATAATAGGAATGATGCCTAGAATGCCCAAGTAACAATAGTAGCCGCTTCGTCTATTAACAGGGTCCATTTTAAGCCCCAAAGTACAATCACATTTTAATAAGTTTGGAGAAAACAAGATCCAATCAAATTTCCCGAGCAACCAACAGCAGCGATTTCCCCCGATGGCGAGAGTTAATCGCTGGTAACTTGTATTTTCCCCAAAGATGCTCCAGAAAGAAAGAAACCAGCGAAGAAGAAAAAAAAAAGAAATAAAGAAATCAGCAAAGAAGAAAAAAAGAAAGAAAGAAACCAGCAAAGAAGAAAAAAAAGAAAGAAAGAAACCAGCAAAGAAGAAAAAAGAAAGAAAGAAACCAACAAAGAAAGAAAGAAAGAAAGAAAGAAAGAAAGAAACCAGCAAAGAAGAAAAAAAAGAAAGAAAGAAACAGCAAAGAAGAAAAAAAAGAAAGAAAGAAACCAGCAAAGAAGAAAAAAGAAAGAAAGAAACCAGCAGAGAAGAAAAAAGAAAGAAAGAAAGAAACCAACAAAGAAAGAAAGAAAAGAAAGAAAGAAACCAGCAAAGAAGAAAAATAGAAAGAAACCAGCAAAGAAGGAAAAAAAAAAGAAATAAAGAAACCAGCAAGGAAGAAAAAAAGAAAGAAAGAAACCAGCAAAGAAGAAGAAAAAAAGAAAGAATATAGAACAGGCGATAACGCTCACGTGAGTTTAATATCTGTTACTATGAAGTCATTCATAAATCTTTTCATTTGTACCCTCTGACTTCTTACAATAACGACAAGCATTCATATTTATGATTGTTATTAAAATATTTTGTTAAAGTTGTTAAACTGAAATATTTAACGTGTCGAAAAAATTCTGCAAATTTTCCACGGGGACGGATCTAGTTCTATCCTTTTAAAAAAAATATGAAATTTGCCTAGAATGCCCAGGTAACAATGGAAGCCTCGCACTGTCAGCTGGGGCTGTAAATTACGCCTACTGCACCTCTGCAGAGGGGTAAGACCCCACCCCAATGGGCGTCCTGGGTAAGACGATAAACTATGTCCAACAGCAAGGCTGTTGCGGGGCCGATAGGGAATGTCGCACCGCAATTTTTTAACGAAGAAAGGTGTGAACAGCTAAGACAATGAGGAACAAAGGCAGAGGTTTAGAATAACAAACGTCAGATTTATTTGTCGGTCTGGACAAATGTAGGCACAGGAATTGTTTGGCGTAGTTCGATCGTGAAGTCAGGGAGTGCCAGTTGAAGGATCGTTGTTAGGGTTCAAGGCGGCAGCTCTGAGGCAGGAAGATGGAACAGCGGTATTCGAGGTCCCGTCGATCCCCGGATGTCTGCCCTTTTGTAAAGAGCGCGTCGGCGTTTAAGAAGAGAGAGGATCGGCGCAGACGGTGCTGGTGTAGCCTGTTCGTCCTTAGAATGATAGTCGTGTAAGAACGCAGCTTGGTAGTTCTAAGAAAAGGGACGTTCGCAATATAATATGGCTAGGTTAGTCCTGAAAAGGACTGTCGTATATCATGTGGCCAGGTTAGTCCTGAAAAGGACTGTCGCATATCATGTGGCCAGGCTAGTCCTGAAAAGGATTGACGCATATAATGTTCGGCTGCTGCTGAGGTTGGGTCGGCCTGTTGCTGAAGTAAGGTCGGCCCGCTGCTGCTGCTGCTGCTGCTGCTGCTGAAGTTGGGTCGGCCCACTGCTGCTGCTGAAATTGGTTGATTCGTGCGGTCAGCGGCGAGGGTCGGCCAGGTATAGAGCTTAGAAAAAAATTCGCAGTGTGAGATAGGCAAGAAGTAAGGCATATAGCAACATCAGCACGGCAAAGGGCACTCCTTTAAAGGCAAGGAAGGGCAAAAGTCAAGTGATAGCAATTGCTGTATGAGTCGTACGATTTTTGTATCAAGCACGAGTAACGCCGGGTCATGCTGCTAGTTAAAGTATGAATGGCTTAGTCCTCACATTTTTTAGAACTTCCTCATTGCTCAAGTGTTCTGTCAATGGTATTCTCAACGTTCATCTGTAGAACTACATCCCTGTTGCTTTGAGCCTCTTCTTCATCTGTAAGGAAATTTTCCAACATTCACTTGTTGACTGATGTTTCTGAGGTGACGAAGCTCTAAACCTTTGGCTGCCTCTCTTGCTGGCGGCCACGCCTTTTTGATCATGCTATCTTACTTTTACGTTAAACTAAACGACTGGACTGGACAGACATTGTAAATCATGTAAACTGGGACACGTGAATAAACTATTGCCTCTAAAGTAAACAATATCTTAAACTTTACCTACGAACCGTTTCGAGTCAGACGAGTTGCTCCAATTGTATTTAAATTTGCTGTAAGGTGGGACAAAAAGAAAACAATCTAGATAAGTTTTAAAAAAAAATGTAAATTTTACAAGAAAAAAGGTTAATCCTGTATATTCTCATTAAATAACCTTTATGTGTGCGCATGCGCGCAGATGTGTGTATAAGTAACTGTCGGTGCGCAGGTGTACACGGATGTGCATGTAGGGTAACGATTACGGGCACGGATAGTGAAATCGGCGTGCCAAGTTCAAATTCTGAATTAGTCGCTTTTGCTGACTTCGCACTCGTGCTCTTGGAAACGGGACGCAGAAGATCATGGCTCTCCACAACTTCCTATTCTTTTCAACTCTAAACGATAGTTTCTCCTCTTACTATCTTACTATATATATATATATATATATATATATATATATATATAAAGAAATATAGTCTTAAGGTGTGCTATATTTATGGAATAAAGTGCTCAATATCAGAGATAGAGCGTGTGTAAATATAAAAGTGAACATAAAGTCAACACTTAGAGGCGACAGTCTGTTTCATGCTATATGCAATCCTCAGGATTGCATATAGCATGAAACAGACTGTCGCCCTAGCATGACTTATGTTCACTTTATATATATATATATATATATATATATATATATATATATATATATATATATATATATATATATATATATATATATATATATATATATATATATATATATTGTAGCCTTGTTTGTTTGTTTATTACCGAACTCCTCCTTGGGTTTTGAGATAGACCCTCACAACCATATATATTCTGAAACTACCAGGGTACTTGAATAAGTATATTTCATTTTAATCAAAGGGGTCCCCGGGGGTTTAAACCCACCACTAAAATACTTTTTCCCTTTGATACAAATTTAAATGTTAGGGTACTTGGATAAGTCTATTTCATTTTGATCAAGGGGGTCCCGGGGGCACCACCCACTGACATTCTTTCCCTTTGATTTAAATTATATTTAAATTTGAACAGTGGAATGACACCTATCCAAAATATAGAAGGAGAAAGCCAAAAGTTTGAGGTTACATTGGCAAGATCAAAATGAGACAATATAGACGTCAAGTTGAGCAAGAAATCACCAATCAGTGGGTAATGCCTTACAATACATATTTGTTGCGACAATTCAACTGTCATATCAATGTTTAAATCTGCTCATCAATTCATTCAATTAAGTATTGCATCAAATGCATATCAAAAGGCTTAAATCAAGCTGTTTTCGCACAAACCCTCATTCTTTTTCCCTTTGATTTAAATGAAATTTATATTTGAACAAGGGAATAACTCCTATACAAAATATAGAAGGAGAAAGTCAGACGATGGAGGTCACACCGGCAAGATCATTGAGTAATATTGAAATGCATCATTTTTCTCCACAAATTATAACAATGATTTAAAATCAATTATCATTTTCTTATAAAAAAAATGTGTGACACAGCAAATCGCGAGTAATTTGGCTAGTATTATATAAAGGTTCAGCATTTTTTCTAATAAAATTTCCCCTTTTTTATTTAGCTTTTGGAAGGCATCTTTAGATATTTTAATGCGACTTCGGATTTCTGTGTCATATTTTCCGGCGTCTGTTATAACTCTTCCTAGTTAGTTTTTGAAGTTACCATCTTCCACCCTTTTCCTTAAAGAAGCAGGAAACAAGATAACAGGTGTTTTGAATTCAGAGTTTTCCATTTTCTAGACTGGTTGTCATCAAAGGCTATAGGGTCCATTCTGTCCAGCTATTTATCCATAGGATCCATACCTTTCCCGAGGGTATTAGAACGTAAGTGAATGCGATGAACTAGACCGGAATTCGAACCCCGTTCTCCGATTCCTCAAACCGAGCCGCTATCCAGTACTCCTCTAGTCGTTCGTTTGATCTCCCAAGTACTATAACAAAATTCAAGTGGTAGGTTTGCCGTATCCAGAAGAAAAACTGCCTGCTTTAGAATAAAAGATTTACATCCAAAAATCGCCCCTTTACTCAGACACTGCCTACAGGAAAACCAATCTGTTTGCAAACTGATTATTTGAATTTTTCATTCTTTTCTTGGTAATTATCATCATAATTCCTCTGACCGTGTGAGGTCACTAAACAGACGAGCTCTTAACCAGTTTCTTTCACATATCTAGATTGAAAGCCAGAATGGCATTCATTCGTGCGTAATGTGTCTTTGGTAAGTCGACCTGACGAAATCGATTCCTCTCCAGGTCAAACCGCAGCCGATGTTGGAACTTCAAGGTTTACCTTTGTCACGGTCACGTTGCTATTGATTTCATTTGGGGTACCCTTTCACCTTGCCCGTAGACTTCGGTCTACGAAGACCTCCGCCTGGCGATGACATGCGATCGCCGAACTGGCTGAGGACAAAGCTATGAACCCTAGTTCACCATATTGTGCTAGATAATTCGTTCTTTGACCGGTCTTGGTTTTAATTCTGCTGGGTATCTACTCACCCTACTTCTCAGAAAATCCTGGTGGGGGAACTGGTTTTATGGACTTTGACCCGACCATACAGTAATATGTGTTACAAAATAAACAGAGAAAATAACGACTCAGTATTGAAAATCAGTGAGCCGGGTTCGAATTCCAGTCGGATTTGTTATATTCACTTATAGTGGTGGCATCCTACTGGTTCGCAGTGATTCGCGCGAACCGATTCTTAAAATTATGAAAGCTTAGCGAATCGGTTGTTGGATTATCCAAAAATAATCTTATATATTAATAACCGATATATAATAGCTAAAAATATAATTATTACCTAATAGGGCTAAGAGAAGGTTTTCTATAATGAACATAATTTAATCTGACAAAAGAAAACGTCTTAGTTAAAAATGTGGCAAATCTTCCAGTCATGAATTTGATAGGTCCTCTATTGAATCTTTGGAACTGCGGTGATTCAGTCCGAATGTAGCTAAGAAACCATAACACAGCTGATGCCACGAGAGTCAAAGAGCATCATACTTCTGAACAGAAATATGATGAGAACAGAATTTCAATCAGAAAATATCTTAATAAATAAATGTTTTCTATTAAATTATCAAAATGGTTTAATTTTTTTATACTATATAAAGTGATTTGTTACCATTCTCAGATTGAAAAGAAAACAAACGGAATAGATTCCTGAAGTTTGTCTGCCTTTATAAAACCGGTTCCTGGAAATTTGTGATGCCATTATTGTTTACACGCAAAAACCTTGGGAAAGGAATAAAACTACCTCTTCTCGTACAGCTATGGTTTAAATAGTAGGAATTTTTGTGATGTCAACGAAAATGCTCGTTGTAGTAGAGACTTTGTAATCGTAGATACAACTATACGCCGTTGAAAAATACTGTTGTCAAACGCCTTCGAATAGCACTCGTACTAATAGTACTTGCTCGATAATACTCGCTCGAATAGTAATCCATATAGTGATCCGAATAGAGAAATAGTATAGTGAACAGAGTAGAGAATAGCGGTCCGTATAATAATAGAGGATAGAATAGAAATGCGATCCGAATAGTATAGAGGATAGAGTAGAAATAGCGATCGTTAGTCGTCAGCTACTTCCTACATATATGCGTTTCCTCTATGGTTACATGGTCTACTTAATTCAATAATAGGATCGCCTGTGTTTGCTCACTGGCGATCTATGTTCAAATTCAAGTGTCGCCAGCGACACTTTATTCCTATATAACATTGTATCGGAAAACCATTATTAGTTCCAAAAGATTACTACAACCCAAAAACATATTTTAAATAACCTGCAAAAGTGATAAGCTTTAAAAAAAATCCTCAATAAAAACCCTCTCGACACTTTTTTTTGGTGGGGTGGAGAAGCTGAAAATTAACATGTGCGAGTCGTTTCAATTTGAGTAAAGTCAAGTGTTCGGTTTTGTGCGTCAGTTCATTTTAAGTGACACCGAATGGGGGACTGGAATTACGGTTCAAGTAATGAAATGTCATGTCTTGAAGCATCACTCGAAAATATGTGGCGTTTAACTACAAAAGAAAAACAATTACTGTATTTGACGGCATATAAGGCGCACATTTTTTTTTTTAATAAAATATCTTTTTAAATTAAACATGGAGGAGCAATGGAACATGTGGATGGCAATGCCTGATCTCGACTTTACACTCACAGGAAGAATAAAAAGACCCAGCATTACACAAGTCTGCGAATGAGTGAAGCAAGCTTGGGATAATATTAAACCAGAAATTGTTGTGAAATCTTTTAAAAAGTGTGGCATTAGCAATGCTTTCAATGGATTGGAAGATGACGCATTATTTAACGACGATTATAGTAGTATTGAAAATGAATATCAGAGTTTTGATAACGAAGACGGCGAATTTTATGGATTTGAAGATGAATAAAATTTTAATGGTAACTGTACTGTTTTGCTTAATTGTAATAATTAATTGCTTGATTTTTATTTTGTTTTCTTACCTTTGAATATAATAAAGATTTTAAAGGCTCATGTTCTTTTTTTCCTATTATTTTTTCTTTTAATTGTAATCATGGCTTGTTTAACCAAAATAATACCTCATAAATATAGCCGAAGCTGTACTATTTACTAATATTTTTACTAATCTTACTAATTACTAATTTTTCTTTGATTTTCCCTGGTGAAATTGGGGTGCACTCTTATTCATCCATGCGTCTTATATGACGTCAAATACCGTAATTAAAACATTTCTCCTGCTGTAACATTTGGTGACGAAAAAACCAAAAGGACGCGTACAAAGCAATTTTTCAGTCATACATCCTTGAGGATTCAATAATAAATGTTGGCATTTAATTACATTTCCGAAATTAGACATTAAGTATTCAAGCTGTTGCAATTTCGCATCAAATAAATTGAAGTAGATAGGTTCCTCTCGCTTACTAAAATTGGAGTAGTTTGAAACATTATAAAAAGTTATGGGTGTACGCACTGAAAGTCAAACATACACAATGGATGTCCTTCGACATGAAAAGCGTTCGTTAATAAATGGGGTCTGCAATTTCTGTAAAACAAGTTTCAGATAGACGAATGAAACTGATATCAAAACGAAGTAAATATATTTCTCTTCAAAGAAAAGCAGCACATAATCTATCTAGGAGAGATGGAGAAAAGATAACATTTACTAAGAGCTACAATGGACAGAAAATTGTCGAGAGGCAGGATCGCCTATGTCCTGAATGGACACGGCACATAGAAAAAGAAGAGACGAGGCATTGCAACTATTTACACTCTTGACATTTTTATGACTTTTATCCCCGTCTTTATTGCCATATTCACGATGTTTCGGCTATTGTACGCTATGGCCTTCTTCAGGTAATATGTGTTGGAATTTCTAATAATATCACCTGAAGAAGCCCGAAATTTCCTGTATGTAGCAATAAAGACGAGGACAGCAGCCCGAACAATGTAAATAGTGTAAATAGTTACAAATGAGGTTCGCACATTCTTCCGGTTAATAAATTAATGTTTTGAAAATAAATAATTAACATTTTTCAAACAATGGGCCGCGTTCCCGAAAAACAATAAAAAAAGAACATGCTTCGTGATCTCTTTGAATGGTATTTAAGCAAAGTTTCTAGATGGACAACGAGTAAGGTGAAACAGACAGCAACAGTTAACAGACGCACAGCTTAAAGTAAATTCACTTATTCATGCACCCGCCTTCCTCGCCAAGCTACGGGACACTTACACTTTCTTCCTCATTTTCTAACTTGCTTCATATTTCTTGAACACACGCATCTCTTCATCTTAATTACAAGCAAACACTATAAGAACTTTTGCACTCATACACGCTATGAAAGATTTAGTTCTAAGAACACGAAAATAAAAATATCATATATTTTTATATTAAAAAACATTTCGTCTTTTTCTTTGTTGCTGGTTGATTCAAAACTGCAAAAAATTCTAGAGTTACCTTTCCACTTATCCCCATTAGCCTCTTGCTAATTTATTCTTGTTGTTCTTTCAATAACCTCGTGCGAGTAACACTTTGGCTTTTATACGGGAAGCATTAGTATACAGCGGCCTAAGAAATGTTTTTAGCCAGGAGAAATAAACTACATCCAATTTCAAAATTTAATTATGTAATCCCAACTCAACATAAATAAACAGTATTTGGAACTAGCATGGAGTAGGTCCTTCATTTGCTAGTTTCAATGCTTGCATTTGATATTTCATGGATGTGATCAAGTTCTTACATTAAAGTAGCTTGATACTAACACACACACACACACACACACACACACACACACACACACACATATATATATATTAAGAAAGAGACAAAGCCCGACAATTTATTTATTGAAGACATTTTTGTGTTTAACGTTCTTTTTATAGATACAAGTATTTAAGTAAATGCTCTGTTTATAATAAATTCAGACCGGTAAATGTTATCTAATACTGTTTATTATAAACAGAGCATTTACTTAAATACTTGTATCTATAAAAAGAACGTTAAACATAAAAATGTCTTTAATATATATATATATATATATATATATATATATATGCGTAAATGTCCGTGTGTCACACTTTATTCAATTAAAGAGACACAACTCCGTAACTTTCATTATCTCCTTCTATATAAGAAATGCGAGAATGTTTGTGTGTATGTGTCACACTTTTTCAATTAAAGGTACACAACTCTCTAACTTTTATCTTCTATATAAATAAATGCAAATGTCATTGTGTTAAACTTTTTCAACGTTACACATAGAGGTCGTAGCCCAACATATCTTACCATTTTGGAATCAGGCCAACTCCGTGAGCAAATTAAAAACATTCCTGTCCGGATCCAGGCCCGAAATCCTGAAATTTTGGATTCCCAAATTTTCATTACTGCGATTGTTTTTCGAAGATTCTTTATGTGATTTTTGCGACAATTTTTGTACGATAAATATTTTTACAACTTTGAAATAAATTTGGGAATAAAAGAAATTAATTGCGAAAACCAGCAACAGTCACCAATGAAATAAAATTAATTGTTTGTACGGAAAGTTAGGACCTACGTACATCAAATTGTCCTTAAATTAAAATGGCGACAGAAGAATTATCGTTGAACTTTTAAAAGGTAAGCTTAAATATTAATGTAATACTTAAATGCAGCGATCAATTTTGAGTTCTTGGGTCGCCTCGCAAAATTAATCTCCGCCAACAGAGGACCAACTGCAATCAAATGAACCAAGGCTACAGCGAGGAAGAAAAAGTCCTGTGATTATGAAAACCCATATCAAACGGCAGCCAGGAAAGCTTCCAATGCTGAAAATATGCAAAGTCTTAGAGACTCTCAAACTCCTGAACAAGCGGAAAACTCAATCAAGCTCTCTGCAGGAGATAGCTTAAATGCCGGTGAAGTGACTAATGTCTCCGAAGCCACGTCGACCGAATTGCAGGAGTTAGGTACTTTTGTTCAGCAGTATTTTCAATTAATGACAATTGCTAATAAGGTGCGCAAGACGAGCCAATCCCTGACGATTTTGTTAGAATATGTGAGAGCTCAGGTAGATATGTTATCATTGGGACATTTGTCCCCGTGTATAGTGACCCCGGGTCACTTAAAATAGTTACTATTAAAAATACAAACCGAGTTGCCTTACCATTTAAAGTTACCAGTAGACGGCCACTAAAGAGTTATGGAAATGCATTATGCTGTGTTACCATTTAGAAGATAAATAAACTTTTGGTTTTGATGTCCATTCCGTTATTAATCTTAGTACTTTGAGATATATCAGCCGATAAACTTACCTTTTCCCTACCCACGAATAGAGCAGGGACCAGAGGCAGTTACAAAATATTAAACTGAGACAGAATATACAGATTTGAATTCGGAAAGAACCAAGTTTATGTTAATAATGACAGGAGAAGCAAGGAAATGTAAAGCCGATGCTTTGGGGACGTGTACCTAATTAAGTCCCATTTATGTGACAGGGAATCACAAGTTCTGTGTGCCTGAATTGTTTAAGGGAGATAAAGATGGAATTAAAGAGAATTGTCAAGTAGAAGGATTGACAAATACAGTATTACGACAATTTATCAGTATATCTGATAGAGTTTGGGCAGTTGCCATATTGTATTTATGTCTACGCTTGGCAAGCTTTGGAGATTTTTTTAGCCTAGCATATGTGCTGATTCCTTAAGTTTTCGTATTTTCCAGAGAATGTTCTCTGTCTATTATTTCAAATTCATCCCGCAGATTTACGGTTTTCCTATAAATTTGGGGAGGGGGTGTTTTTTCAGTCATTCCTAAAACCAGGATTGAAACCAACAACGGAAATTATTACTTCATTTTACGTGAAATAGCAGAAGGTGAAGTATTCCAACTTGATGGATCACCTTGTCATACATCGTGTGTAACAAAAGGTTTCTCACTGGCGAAGATATTGCAGCATTACAAGCTTAGCCTGTCAAAAGCCCTGACTATATTCTAATCGAATCTATCTAGAGTGAGAGGAAAAGTCGGATGGATAACGGAAAGCCAAAGACTTTGCAAAATCTTTGGGTTTATTGTTAAGTGATCCCAGTAAGCGGTACCTTTGGGAAATGCCTGAAACCCGTACCTCGGATTGACCCAAGCCTTGTGAGCAAAATTGGGTAGATGGAGCTGTTCGGAAGTCAAGATTTCCGAGGGTATGAATGTACTGGCCGTGTTCATCTACTGTGCGCGCTATATTAAGTAATTAAGATTCGCACTGTATAGTTGCAGTATCAACCAAAATATGCCACTGTAGATACTTAAAAAGCGAGTGGGATTAACTAGGACAGTTGAGCATAATCGGAAAGGGACAAACATTTTCGAACAAACCTATCACCGATAGCAAATTTACCTGCCTAAGTACTGACCTCAAAATTCTGCTACAAAAGTAAGTCAAACACAAAAGTTCATATTGCATATGAACAAATAGGTGTGCCAGAAATTCGAATTACGCACAGATATTGAATTACCTACAAATATATCATTCATCTAAAAGGAAT